GGGTTCGGATTCGAGCAGGCAGCGGGGAGAGGCGAGCGGGGCGTGAGGATCATTGCGGCGCGCCGTGATGAGGTCCTGCCGGACCGTGCAGCAGATGCATCCGTTCATCATCTCGATGATCTCCTCGTCGGCTTGGACCTACAGGCGCCGCGCACACACTCGCCCCTCGCCCGCGCGCGCAGCGGCCGCTCCAACCCCCACCCCGCCTTTGAGTTCTTTTGCAGCAGCTCGTCGTCGATGCCGACATCGCCAAACTCGTTCTCGATGACGGCGATCTTCTTCCCGTGGGTGGCGGTCTGACGCGGATAAGGAGGGTGGGGAGTGGAGAGAGGCGGGCGCGCGGGGGGGGGGGGCGGCGGCGCAGCGGTGGACGTTCGAGTGGCTGGAGCGAGGCGCAAGGAGCCGGGGCGGTGCAGCGACGCGGAGGCGTGTGCGAGGTGGTGGGAGGGAGGGCGGCGTAGCCACCAGGATGTGGTTGAGCAGGGTGGTCTTCCCGCTCCCAAGGAAGCCGGTGAGGACGGTGACGGGCACGAGGTTCTCGTTGTCTTCAGCTGAAGCAGCCATCTGGGCCTCGTCCAGCCGCCTCTTGCTCCCACACAGCACTCAAAAGAATTTTGAGCCTTACCAACCGTAGAAAAGAGATACGTAGATCCCTCCCTTGGGTTGTGTGTTTTCTTTCTTTCTTAGAGATACGTAGACCCTTGGGCTGTCTGTTTTTTTCTTTCTTTCTTTAAAGAGATACGTAGAGGGAGACTCCCCACTTTCTCTTCCCACGCTAAGCGAGTTATTTCTTTCTTTCTTTCTCAGAGCTACAGGTCAGCCGAATTTAAGATTTGAAGGCGGGGAGTCCGTTAGCCTTAAAATCTTGAAAATGTGTGAACGGACAGCTAAAATCTTGCGAAAATGCGCCCCAGAGCTCTAAAATCTTGGTCTAAAATCTGAAAATCGCCGGCCTGCGGCCGGCCTCTAAAATCTTAAATTCGGCGGACTTGTATGTGCGCGCTCACCCGTTGCTTGGTGTTGCTGGCTACTCTTGAGTCCTCCTGGCTGCTCTCCGCCCACCAGCCGGCCACAGGCCGCCACCCTCGCCGGCCGGCGTCGAGAGAACGGCCAGACTCGACCGACTCTGTGTCGCGCCGCTGCCTGCTTCTCGCGCCGCTGTAGCAGCGCCAGCAGCTCGGCCGCGCATCCTTCACACACGCTGCTACAACCAAGCTGAGCGAGCCCAGTGTCGAGATCTGGTGTGAGCTGCATGTGCGCGGCGGCCGTGGCGACAGCAGGTCCACCAGACGGACCTCAAAGCTTGCCGTCGGCGTGCTGTCGTGGCGAGAGCGCGAGACCGCTGCAGAGGAGCCGAGTGCAGTGGCGAGCCAGAGGCTACCAGGGCCACCAAGTGGTAGCCCATGCCAATTCTGATCAGGGCTGTGCTTTGGTGGGGTTGTGTTTGAGCATGTGTGAAGTGGGAGTGCGTGCCAGCGGTGTCTGTGGGTGAAACAGGCGTGTGTGAGGCCGTAAGAGCCGTGGTATGAGCCAGAGTGGGCTTCATCACCCAAAATAAGGACGGTTTGGGAGAGATCAGACTTGATACTGATGGGCCTGGGCCAGGAGAGCGACAGAAAAGGCGAGGTGGTGAGCTGGGAAGCCGCGACGTCGGCACCTGGACGTGTCGCGATGAACTGCCGAAAAGCACTGTTTGCGGCTATTGCTCAAAACTTCGGGAGACAAGGCCTACATATTATGACTGCATCCATGCGCCTGGTGCATGAGGGCTGCGGGTCGGGACATTTCACGGTCGGTGGCGCCGGTGATGGCCTCCGGAAAGCCCTCGCAATCGCCTCGGATGGGGTCCACCGGGGCGCCATCTCGAGCCCTCTCCGTGTCATCACGAGCCGGTGTGAGCTTGCAGACCCGAGATAAGTGCGGTCTGGGACGGCTCAGACGTGCTACTGATGGGCCTGGGCCAGGAGGGCGACAGAGAAGGCGAGGTGGTGAGCTGAGAGGCTGGAGCGTCCGCGTGTGACCTTGTCGCGATGCAAGTGCCAAAAAGCGGCTCATGCCCCAGGCGTGCCAGCACCGCCGTTCTGCGCGGGCTCGGCGCCAACCTCGGCTCTCCAGAGGGAGCCGGCGAGGACCCAGCGCGGCCGGAGCTCGTCCGCGCCGACCCACCGCTGCTGGCCGTACCGCTCGGAGGTGACGAGGAAGGACGGCTCCTCCTCGCCCGTCGCGGGGCGGCGCTCGAGCAGCCGCACCTCCCACCAGCCGTCCTTCCACCTACCTGTGTTAGTGCCAGTGCGCGCCAGTCCCGTGCCCAGTGTATATAAATAAATAAATAAAACGGACACACCAAACAAGGGGTGGGAGAAGGACAGGGTCCCCACCTGCGCGAGCAGGATCTTGTAAGGACGATGTTGTGTGAGGCAGTCTGCTTGTTAAATTCTTCTCGCCAGCGGCCGTCACGGCCGGCCGCGAAGAGTTAGCTGCGCGCCTCGCCGTCACGAGCCCAGGCCGTCACGAGCCCACGCCACCTTCTCGGCTCCAGCCGGCATCGCAAAGGTTTCTTAGCCCAGCGAACTCCATGCTGCGACAGCTCGCGTGGCGCGGCGCGGCGCGGTTGCGCGCTCCGTTTCCCCGCCAACCGCTGCCGGCGGCCGCGCTCTACTCGCTCGAGCGGCTCGGCTATGCGGTGGTCCCCGGTTGGCTGCGCGCTGCGGACACCGCTGCTCTGCTCGCGGACGCCCTCGCGTTGGAGGCGGCCGGAGTGCCGCGCGCCGCCGGGGTGGGCGGCGTCGCAGAGAGCGAGAGCTCTGATTGGGCGGTCGAGCTCAAGACCGAGCTGAGGAGGGCAGCTTCGGTGTGGATCCACGAGCCGCCACTCTCGCTGCACGGCGCGCCGGCCGCTCGGCTGGCCCTGCTCAGCACGGCCGAGGCGCTTAGGGCCGAGCTGCTCGACGCGGGCTGCACAGCGCGGCCCCTCGACACCGAGGCGACGAGCCTCGCCTACCTCTACTACCCCGCGGGTGGCTTCTACCGGCGCCACCGCGACACGCCGCCGGCGCCGTCGCCGACGGGCGAGCACCGCGAGGTCAGCTTGCTGCTCTACCTCGACCCTGTGTGGCGGCCGGACTGGGGCGGCGCGCTGCGTATCTTTGCTAAGCCCGCGCCGGTGGACGTGCAGCCCGAGGCGGGCACACTCGTGCTGATGCACTCCCCGCTGCTGGAGCACGAGGTGCTCGAGACTTCGAGGGCTCGCCACTGTGTCGTGGGCTGGCTGTGCTCCGTCACCTGACTGAGTGTGTGTGCACCCTGTTGTCGAAATGATCATGGTGGTTGTGACGTGTATCGCGCAAGTGAGAAGCATGGTGAGAAGTGTTAAACATCATAGCGGGTGGGTAGGCCCTAAAACGGCGGGAGGGGTAGGGCTATATCGACAGAGCTTGAGGGCTCACCACCCCTCCACCCCCCTCCACGCTCCTCCCGTCGGATCGGCGTCGGGAGGGCTCCACAGGGTCCCATAGGGCTAGCGCGCTGGGAGGGGTAGGGCTATATCGACAGAGCTTGCCCGAGTGGTCGCTCACTCACGCACCGAGTCCCACTGACTCAGGGATGTATGAATGTATCGAAGGCGAAAAACAGAGTGTTGTTGTGGTGTTTGGAGAGAGAGAGAGATTTTTGTTTGTGTCAGGCGTCCAACTTTGGCTTGGCCCGTCTCTCCCTATCCTGCCTTTCCCATCCTGGCTCGTCGATCGCTGCCGCTCCCCACCATCCTGCCAGGTGCATTGTAGAAGAGCGGCTCCATTAGTACGCGGCCGATCGACCACTGCCCTCCGACGCGCACCGTTCGCTCTATGCCGCGTCTCGCTTCCTTGTAGCTTGTAGGTCACCTCAGGAGTGTGCTCCTTCTGTGCGGCTTCGTCTCCATCGTATGGTACGATCCCCGTGCGGTCGTTCCAAAAGTGGTTAGAGGAATCTGGGGTGGTCGGTGGGGAGGTGCATGAAGTCACACAGTGAGTGGAATATGCGCTCCCCATCCGGAGGTGACCGTAGCCCTCGTGGATGTATGTCATTACGAGATTGACGCCCTTGTGTGTTGATGGCGCGATCAGTCGGCCCACCTGCCTTTTGTGTAAGCTGCGGGTGAAGACCTCCACATCCTGGCAGCGTTGCCCGCCCTCTGGGTACTCTTGAATGAGCGTCTCCCTCTTTACCGCATGCCGACGCGCTTGTTGTAGCCCCTCGGCGTTAGCTGGGACCTCAAAGAAAGAATCTCACAAACAAACAATCAATCAAGAATCTCTAGGTAGTGCCGCTGCTCCAGGGCAGCCTGCCGACAGAAGAGAGACCCTCCCGCTATGTCTATTCAATGCCTTTTGTTGTGCAATCCTATTCAATCGGAAAGAGAGGAATTTTTTTGAGTGAAGGAATTGAGTAAGGAATGGCGCCGACATTCATGAAGGACGTAAAAAGTGGTCGCGTCCAGAACCGTGAACCCAACGCGGCCAAAGGATATCCACCTCGAGAACCTCGAGAGAACCGTGAAGGAAGAGACTGGCCTACCGACAATGGTGCAGCCCGCCTTCACGGCTGCCGCCGACCAGGCCGCCACGCCGTGCACTCACCGATGCGCCCGCCCCCGCCCCACAGATGCAAGCTACGCTCGCCATCGCCATCGGACTCGGGCTCACCGCCGCCGCTCCTGTCGGCACGCCGAAGATCCTGGCGTCGACGACAGACTTTGGCTTTGGCTCCAACACCGCGTGCAACTGCAACGGCGAGCCGCTCAGCAAGACGCTCATCGAGAAGCACGGCTACGTCGCCGTTGCGACTCCGGACTGGATGCTCACGCCGTTCCTCTCCATCAACACGGCGACCGCCTCCGGGGACTCGACGCCTGCCACGGCCATGGGCAAGCCGTACACATCCAACTGCGGCAACGGGAAGGGCGGGTGCGGCAAGTGCTGGAAGCTGACCACTCGCGACGAGCCCAACATCTACGGCCGCAAGACAACCTCCGACGGAACGCCGTCGGCACCTTTCAAGCAGCACGAGGTCAAGGTCGTGGTGATTGATGCTTGCGAGGACCGGAATGCATACGGCAACAACTGGCAGTGGTGCCTGCCGTTCAAGCTGGACTCTAGCCTCACAAAGGGCCTGCCGATCAACGCCAATGGCTACGCCGGACACAACATCACGGACGCAAAGTCCTTCCTGGTCGACCCCACCGTGCCGTACACTGGCTACCCGGGCGCGGGCGCAGTCACGGTCCCGTACGATTCGCTGCACCTGGGCCAGTTCAGCCACACCGACAAGGAGACTGACTGGCGGAGCGAGGAATGCTACGATGTCGCGGGCAACTGGATCTGCACCAACCTTGCCGGCCAGCCTTACCACTTTGACTTTGGCATTCAGCAGATGGACGACGACTTCCTCGAGAAGCAAGGTCCTCGAGCTTCCCTTCGCACTTGCGGTAAAACTTGTCGGCAATGCGTGCACGCTTGAAGAGAGCCTCGAGCGACTCTCCCGGGTCGATGGCGGGCGAGGCCGCCATCGAAGGCTTGGTGCCCGGCCGAGGAAAAAAATTCCCGGACGCAAGCTAAAAGTACGTGAGTGTGTGTGTGTGTGTGTCCTAGTAGTGTGACCTAGTAGTGTCCCCAGCTATGGGCGTGTCCACGTTGGAGCCAGGTGTGGTGTGGGCGCGAGAATAGCTCCGCCGTTCATGGAGGCAACCGATGCGAGTCGACTGGTGTGTGTCGTCGTGGTTTCGTATCAAGAATACTCACTCACAAGCTAAAAGTACGTACATGCTCCCAGTAAGCTAAAAATTCCGTCCTTGCACTTTAGCTTAATGAGAAATCTCTCTCTCTCACATGTACATGTACATGTGCATGTCCCTATCATTGAAAGTAGCAACCGGGTCGCGCTACACGCTCTCCGAATGGGATTTCTGCCCTGCCGCCTGTCGCGGCCCCGCCTGCCTCCCGGAGGCCCGCCCGGCCGTGCAATCCGCCGCCGGACCGCCCGGCGGGTCCAACCCGAAGCGGGCGACCGGCCGTTCGCACCGCTCGGCCGACGGGGCGAGCCCCGCGGCCCTCGATCGCTCGCCCCGGGACGTGGCCCGACCGGCCCACGCGCACGGCCTGGCCTCTACCGCCACTTTCGGCGGCGCAATTTGCGCCTTCATCGCTCTCTGGATCGTCCTGGCACCCATCGGACTCCTCCCGACGGTCGGCGGCGCCCACTCCGTGCACTTTGAGTCAGACTCGCTCTTCGGCAGGCACGCTCTTCGGCAAAAAGTCGCCGCCGGCTGTCCACGCCGAGCCAGCCAGTTGCCGGCTCGCATGGCAGCCTCTTTCTCTCGACCAGCCTCAACTTCGACACGGTCATCATTTTGTCGCTGCGTGCTCGTTGCGAGCCGGGCGGCGGTCAAAGTTTGCCCAGACGAGCGCCAGGCGATAGTACCGTCTCTGTTCGCCCTGTGCATGTCAGGCCAGGCTGCAGCGGGGCACGACCATCGTGCTGCCCTGTTGCAGCCTGACGTTTCCCACTGTGCACAGCCGCCAGAGCACCACCACCGCCCGGCATCGTGTCACGGCGAGCTTTTTCTGCACCCGTTCGCGAGGCTCTCGCGCTGGCACACTTCGGCCTTCCGCTGCTCGCGTTCGGCGAGCTCTTCTCCGCACTCCTGCCACGGTGCCGTCGCCACACACCTTCTGGCCGGCCTGAGCCACGCGGACTCGACCTCTCTCCCTCTCTGGTGCACGCCACGGGCCGCGACGGCTGCTGGCAGCCAGCCGGCGTGAGGAGGCAGCGTTGCCGGCACAGTCGAGCTGGAGTATCCGCTTCTTGATGCTTCTGCGGTCAAGCTTGACCTTATGTGACATGATATGCCACAATACTGTATGCTCTCACCCCTCAAAGTGTCGAATTTTTGTTTAGTACTGGTGACCCGACACCGGTGGCCCGATAGGCGATAGTACCGTGTGCCTTTCTTCAAACGAACGCACTTCGAGGTTCGACAATCGCTAAGATGCTTATGGGGCACCGCTGCGACTCCCTTGGAGATGCCTGAGGCCACCCCAACCAGTCCCCAAGGCCAAGCCTTACGTGGACGAATTCAACCCTACTTTTTGTTCGTCTACCCACATTAGCAACTTCGTGCTCATGTCAACGCCACGCCAGCGCCAGCCCATTCAACCCCGCCCCCATTGGGGGCGGGGCCCTTCAAGGGCTTAACTCTAGCTATGCTCTCACCCCTCAAAGTGTCGAATTTTCGTTTCCCGGTGACCCGACACCCGTGGCCCGATAGGCGATAGTACCGTGTGCCTTTCTTCAAACGAACGCGCTTCGAGGTTCGACAATCGCTAAAAGCTGCTTTTGGGGCACCGCTGCGACTCCCTTGGGGATGCCTGCGGCCACCCCAAGCACTCCCCAAGCCTTACGTGGACGAATTCAACCCTACTACGCACATTAGCAACTTTGTGCTCATGTCAACGCCACGCCAGCGCTACAGGCTAGCCTGTAGCCCATTCAACCCCGCCCCCATTGGGGGCGGGGCCCGCCAAGGGCCACATCTAGTCCTAAAGCTAAAATCACGAGAGGGTTTCCGCCGGGCATATTTCGGCCAACTCTGCGCGTCCGGCGAGTGAGTATCCAAGCAGGCGTCTGAGAATGGCTTGCTCCGTGTCGCTCGAGCGCCAAAGCAGCCGGTTCGCGCGGTGCTCCGTGGGTAGCACCTTTGGCTGCGTCGGAAGCGGGCGGGGCCGCGCCTCATCTGTCTGGGTCAGTCAAGGATGCCGCGGCAGGTTCCTGTGCGATGGCAGGGCGGTCCGGTGCGGAGAGAGCGGCCCAAGCTTGAGCGAGAACCAGTCATGCACGTGTGGCGATCTAGACGAGCAGGTGCGCGCGCCCTGCAAGAGGACCCACGCCTTCGGCCGACTGCAAGAGACGGCGATACGCGACTCTGCCTCGTGCAGCACTCCGCGGCGCTTCTCCGTGCTGCTGCCAGATTGCCTCGGCGCGGTGTACACGCAGCGCGTCAAGAATATCGGCAACATCATGCACGCCTGTCTCAACGGCATCCTCCTCGCCCGCGCCTTTCGGGTCCCCCTTTTTCGTCCACCGCTTGCAAGTTGGGACGGGGCACTGCGAGCAACGGCGGAGTATGAAGAGCTGCCGCCTGCGCCGACGCCGATGTCGGCCACAACCTGGTGTGGGCAGGATTTTGAGACGGCTGTCCAGAGAGGTGCCTACGACTTTCGCAACTCCACCTATGGGATGCTTGCGTGCAACAGGAAGAATTTGCGCTTCTTTGCACAGGAGATTGCGATTGCACGTGTGTGGCGGTCGGCGGTGGACTCGCGGCTCTGGGAGCACGGGCCAAACTATGCGTACGGGGCGGCGTTTGTGCACCACTTCCGCTTCACGTGGGCGGACCCGGTTTTCGAGAGCGAGGCGGTTCTGAGGATCGGTGCGCACGGAGCCCAGTTGAGGCCACGGAAGCCACGGAGACGCGCCATCCTTTTCCGTTGATCTCTCGTACACGTCGGCAGCACGCACGCGTACACACGTCTCTCACGCCACTGCCAGTCGGTCTTCCACCCTCTACCACGGAGCATCAGCCGCACGCACGCAAGCGCGCACCGCTGTAGGCGTGCACTTGCGGCACCGCATGGCGTGCCTTGATGGCAGCGAGCTTGTCGATGACGTGCTGGCCGCCGCCACGCGGCTTGCCGGCGGGCGCGATTTCGTGCTGCTCGTGGCCAGCGACCGGAGGAGCTCCCTGAAGCTCCTGCGCGCGCGGGGCGTGCGGATGGTGGCCGTACCGCGTCTACAGTCCACCTCCACCGACAAAGTGGCAGAGCACGGCGAGGACGTCGGAGAGACGGCGATGCGCGACATCCACCTGCTCTCCTTCGCGCACCACCTCATCGGCGTGCACCGCCAGATGCACCACCGCCCCATGTCGACCCCCTGTCTCTCATGTCTTTGCTAACCACTCCTAGGCTCGTACGGCTCCACCTTCACTCTCCTCATCCAAGAATTGATTGCATACCAACAGCGCAACGCGACGGTCACCTATTGTGAGCCAGCCAACCCGGCCAACAGCTCGTGGTGCGGCAGCGCGCTCCCCCTGCGCGGAGACTGGCACGTGTCGGAGTACCGCTTCCCGATCGATCGTGAGGGGGTACGCATCATGCGAAGGGTGGCTGGACCCCAAGCGACCTTCACCAGCGGCTCTACGGCTGGTCGTACCGCCACACCCGCGTGCGAAGCGTTTGAGAGAGCTGGCTGAGGGATGATGCGAGATCGCGCTGACTAGGCAACACAGCCGCACGGCCTGCACGCGTGGCATCATCAACGCCACCCCTGGATGCATGGGTGGCAATACCACGGCAAGAGTCTGGGTCTCGGGGGCTTGCCGAGGCAAATTCCTCTGGCTCTGCAACGGGGTTGCCGTCTTGTGCGGATTTGCGCTCAGCCTCAGGGGCACCAAACGGTATCAGGAGTGCGATTGCGCCAGCAAAACGTCCGTTCAGACATTGCGCTGAGCACGTCACGCCATTATAGCTCGACCCCTCGCCGAAAAAACGTACATATACTACACACAGTGCCACACTGCACACAGGTTAGTGTCGTCGCAGCCGTTAGCGTAACGACGTCGTCACTAACGTGTCCCCAGCCGTAACGTCTCTTTTCTCTCTTTCCACTCAAATAGAAAGACGCTCACAAATAGACGCCTATGCCGGGAGGCTGCTTTATCTGCAGTCTGCACGACCGGACGGAGCGCGGCGCGCGTACTAGGATGGGTTTGAGATTTTCACACAGAACAATACACGGAACAAAGTAAAATCCCTCCGCGCGTCGTTGATGGCCCGGCAAGCAACAGTGGCGCGGGAGGACCACCCCACGCCCCACGCGCTCGCGCCACGGCCGTTGGGCTCACGGCCACGCGTCGTCCCCCCGCCAGACCCCACAGAGGGGGGCGCCTGCAGGGTGTCATCTCTGCCTGCTGTCCGTTTTATGAAGCCCGCTCGATTGTGTGGAGTGTGTGGAGTGTGGTTGATCCGCCCGCCGTTCGCTTTCGTTACCCAGGTTGCACAAAGTATTTAGCTCGTCGCATCTCGCCTGCCGGCAGGGGGCGCACATCGAACTACTCTTGCTGTAGAATGAGAGCGGCAGCAATCCTGCTGCTCTCGCTGTCTGTGGTGATCGCCGACGTCATCTGCTCAGAAGACATTGGGAGGAAGAGAATTGGCGAGGGCGAGACTGTCGTGCTGAAGGACTGCGCAACAGCAGGCTATGTCAACCTCCGCTGGGACGTGATAGAAGAGGTTCTCGAGCGTTCGCGGCGAGAGCGGCGAAATCGAGATGTGGGGTGAGTTCGCAGATCACCCAAATTTAAAGTATTTCGAGATCGATGGGGAAGACTTCACCGCGCTCCGTGGCAACCCGGTGACGGGGTACAACTCAGAAGCTTTCGGCCGCGGAGGTTCTACTGTGCAGTTCACGGTCTACTGCAGAGACGACAACAGGGCGTGCGCGGGGAGTGCCTTTGGACGTGCGGGAGGGAAGACGGAGGCGCAAACTGCGAGAAGGAGATGTCGTCCAGCGCCATGTCCGACCTGTAGCCCGGTCCCGTCCGGCCGTTGAAGCGCACCTGCGTCGTCGAGGCGGGCAGGACGACTGCCGCGTCGAGCCAGCTATTGCCCTGGTCGCCAGCCCTGCTCCAGAGCGACGACCAGCCCGTCTCGCTGTTGTAGGCCTCGAAGGAGAGGGTGCCCATGTCCGAGCCGTACATGTGGTAGAAGAAGGAGAGGGTGGCTTTCTGCTGGAGCGAGAAGAGCGGGCTCTCGAGCTGGTGCAGCTTGTTGAAGCGACTACTGGCCTCGGTGTAGAGATAGTAGCCCAAGCCAGTGGCGTGGTCGCCGCTCGGGCCTGTGTTGGACGATCCCGTGCCTCCGATCGTGCGCCACCAAGAGTACCCGTCCGGCGCGGTGTCGGTCCAGGCGCAAGTTCCGACCTCAAAATCGCAGCTCAGCTCCACCATGGGGGCTGCCAGAGGGGGCGGGGGCGGGGATGGGGGCGGGGGCGCAGCAGGGGAGGCAGGAGCCGAGGGTGCCCGGCTTGGCGCGAGCGGCGACCGCAGACCGCGCTCGTTTCTCCGCCTCCTTCCACGTCTTGGCCGCGATCTGCAATTCTTTGTGAGCAGTCCTGCGCGTGATGTCGCCGCTCGTGCAATGGTTCAGCCAGCCTGAGTTCCCATTCTGGGTTGGTCGCGGGAGCACGCAGAACACCCCGCTGCAGATGTCGCATCGGTGGAAAGCGTGGTCGGCTAGCGCATCGTCGGTGTCGGCGGAGGATGGGTGAGCGGCAGCGCAGTGCTCGGCGAGGTGTCGCCGATCCGGGAAGGGTGTGGTTGCAGCCGTCAATGGGGCACTTGATGCCTCCGACTGGTGCGTTGTAGCCGTTGTACTTCGCCGCAAGGTCTTGGACCCTGTTGGTCGCTACGACGGCGTTGACAACGGTGATGTCAACCTCTCACAGACCAGCGCATAGCGCCATAGGACGTATTTTCTTCTCATAACAAGGCTGTGCTCTGTGTGTCTGTGAGGACGCCGTGCACCAATGGGCAATGGCGCGCTAACCTCGTCCGCGAGCGCTGTCCAGACACCAGAGCTGCACCGACAGTCGCTGCAGCGCAAACGGCATCCATGTATTCGCGCCCTGACCACGACGTCTGGTCGTACTGAGAGTCATGAACCATGGGAAGTAAAAGAGGAACTAAAACCAACACTACGGCTTTAAGCAGAGCCGCCGCGCCCCGCGCCCCGCCCGCCCCGCCCACCGCGCCCGCCACGTCCACGCCCCCCTCGCCCGCCTCGCCCACTGCGCCCCCCTCGCCCGCCTCGCCCACCGACCGCCGCCGTGGCGCCCACGGGCTGAGCCTGGGGCGCGGGGCGCGAGGGCGGCTGGTGGACAAACGTCGTCTGCGCCGCCACCAGCCGCCCAGTTGCGGCGATGGGCAGCGCCGGCTGGCGGCAGGCCGGGCAGTTGCTGTCGCGCTCCAGCACGCGCGGCGCACACGTCTCGCAGTACAGCGCGTGGCCGCACGCGAAGCGGACCGAACGCAGCGCGTTCCATGGCTGTGGACGGCGCCCTTCGTCACTTTCCAAATTCACCTTGTTTGTGCCTCCATGCGGCGCATCTCCCTTCCCAGTTTTCGTCGGCACGTTCGCACGCGCAGCGAGCCAGTATTGGACCAGTTGGACCAGGCGCAGCGAGAAGACAGTCGAGACCAGCTGCGCGTGGCGGCCCAGGCGCTGATCTCGGCAGTCAACGCCGGGAACGCGCCGATAAGCGAGTTGACCGAGATTATCCAGATGCTCAGCGTGGCGCAGCGGATGCCGGACACCGTCACGAGTCCCTGCTGCGCCGCCAGCGCGGGAGAAAGTGCGGCGGCTCAGAGCCCGAGCGCGGGCGACGGGGCGCACCACGACTATCTCTCCGAATACTCATCCTCCGCAATCGTTGCGAGGCCTTGGGGCGGGGGGCGGGCTCCTGCGCCCCCTGTCCGTTCCGGGACTCCGGCCGAGTACCCTGATCGCTCGCCCATCCGTGGCTTCCTCATTGACCTGGACGGGAGAGTCGCAGTGGGGCGGCGGAGGAGGCCACAATTGGCACCTCTCGGACTCACGGCCCTCCGAATAGGACGATGTACGAACCCGAGGGCCTCCTCCCCGGTGCCGCCGCCTTTTATGACTGGTTGAATGCCTCGCGTACGCCGCACGTCTTCCTCTCCAACACGGGCGCCAAGAATTCGGGCGGCGTGCAGAAGAAGTTCGGCTCGCCGCCGTTTGAGCTCAGCGAGAAAAAGGTGCGCCGCCTTGAATGCCGTCCTGGGGCTCCCTGGAGTTGCGAAGTCTACCACACCTTGCCTTAGGTGCCCCTCTCGTGCATCCTCACCGCCGCGGAGACACAGGTCGACTACCTGCTCAAGGAGGTGCCCCGCGGCGCGCGTCTCTTCGTCGTGTCCGGCGGCAGCGGCACGTGGCGCGAGGACCTCCTCTCGCGCGGCGGCGCCGAGGGCGCGGCGCTGGTTGGGACGTGGGACGTGCGCACCTCGCTGTCGGCTGGCGAGGCCAAGGCGTGGGCGGCGCACCAGGCGCTCTGCCGGCACACTGCATCAAAGGCGGTGTGGGTCGTGTTCTTTCACGACGGCGAGGTGGGCGGCTCCGGCTCAGAGACCAAGGACTGGAGCTTCGAGGTCATCAAGATTGCAGGCTTTCGGCCTGCTCTAACGCCCCCCCCCCCCCCCCCCCACACACACACCCTCTCGCCCCCGACCCTAACCCTCGAGCAGGCTTCCTGCTCTCGCACGGCGCGCAGCTCGTCTACACAGCGGACGACGCGTACAACCCCTCCGTCGACCCGGACCACCCCGGCCTCGTCTTCCCGCTGCCCGGGCCCGGCAGTAGCAAGCAACTGTACATGAACGAGCGACACCCTCTCACCACGTCTCGAATGGCTAAACATAGGCCCGGGATGTTCGCCGGGATGATGCGCACGCTGATGTACCCTGCGGGCAGCGAGTCGGTCGCGTGCGCGGGCAAGGGCGGCAACAGGGGCGGCGAGTACATGATGGAGCGGGCGCGGCAGATGCTCGTCGCCCAGGGCCACGACGGAGACCCGTCCACAATCTGCATGGTGGGCGACCGCTTCGACACCGACATCCGCGCAGGCGTCGCTGCGCTCCGCGTGTAGTAGTAAGCAAAACATTGCACCCTGAAATCATGGCCTCGGTGGCCTCTGCCGGCTCGAGCACTAACCCCTCGTGGCGTCTCTGCACCGTGGCATACCCCCCCCCCCTCCCCCCCAGGCCTCTCCGCCGGCTTCCGCACGTGCTTGGTTTTGAGCGGCTGCCACAATCTCGACGCCCAGCGCCACTACCCTTCGGACGTCGCAGACTATTTCGCGAACGGCGTCGGAGAGTTGGTGCCGCAGGCGGCGCGGCCGGACAGCCTGAGAGAGGAGAGCCTCACAGGCTGGGTGGGCACCTCAGCCAGTTCACGGCGGGGGGCGCGCCCGCAAGTGTCGCCCGCGGAGGAGCTGGTGGAGTGGACTCTCTCGCAGTCGAGCCTGATCCGCTCGGGGCGCGGTGACGCCGCCCGCGCCGCGCTGCGGCCGGTGCTGCAGCGGTACTTTGACGCGATCGACGTCAACGGCGATGGCGTAGTCGATGAGGCGGAGCTCATGAGCGGGTTGGAGCAGGTGGGGCTAGGCAGGCTGGTGCGGCACAGCGGCGGCGGCCTCTCCTCGTCCCAGTTCGTGCGCCTTGTCGAGGAGGCGAGGCCTCGCCGAGATTGCGCCGAGATCGCCCGTGAGATGGCAGCGAGAGCGTCAGACACGCCTCGCGGCCTGATAACCGTGGCCTCCCCTGCCCGACCCACCGCGCAGTCCCTATGCGAGTGCGGCGTCGGCGAGTCGACACAAAGTCGGAAGCGCGCCAAGACACCGCTTCAGCACCTGTGCCGCACCCTCCCGGGCGAGAATGGCTTGTCGCCCCTCGCGTCCCGCGTTGCCGCCACCGCCACTAGCACTGGTGTCGCAATGGGTGTCGCGGCGTCCTCGGCATTGGGGTGGTGGGAAGTTCGCGCCGAAGGCTCATCATCTACATGACAGCCGGCCGCGTGACAGCCGGCACCGCGACAGCGCCAGCCGCGGCCGCTCCGCCTACGGCGCGCGCGGCGACCGGCGCGGATCGGAGGGCGAGCGGGCGGGCGAGGGGTGGGGCGAGCGGGGAGGGCACGACCGGTCGGAGCGGCACAAGCTGCCGCGGTACGAGATGGGCGCGTATGGCAGCGCCTGAGGAGGCGGCGCACGCCCGCGGAGCATCCTCGAGGGTTCGACATGCGCCGCGGGGGGGCGCGCCGAGACGGCGCGGCATCGAGGCGCTCCCGCAGACTGCGCTGCCTCGGCACGCTGCCTGCCGAGGCGCGCGCACTTTGCACAAGCGGCGAGGCAATGTCGAGAGGGCAGAGGCGGGGTAGGCAAGCCCATGTTGCGATGGCAGAGAGAGCGGGGTAGGTCATGTTGCGAGGGCAGAGGCGGAGTAGGTGGAGCTCATGTCGAGAGAGGCTGGGTAGAGAGAGTAGGGTAGAGAGAGGCTGGGTAGCGGGGGAGGGTGACGAGGCATGCGCCTCGCGCCCGCCCACCAGAAAGAGAGCGCGCCGATCAGAGAGTGGCGCGTCTGCGCCTTATGCGCCTAGCGGTAGCGGAGGGGGGGAGAGATAGATCAGAGACTGAGGTGTGAGGACCCGTAAGTGATGTCCCACATGTTCGGCCTGCCGTCGGGCCAGGAGGCTCCTCAGTGGGCGTCTGTTTTAATTTGCATAATCCATTAAGTCAAATTCTGTCAAACACGTCACGCGGGATCCCCCAGGGCCCCCAGGGCCCACAGGCCCTAGCTGGTTGCGAGGGACGACGACGCCCGCCCCCCTTGTCCGTTCTAGGTTAAAGCCGTAGGTTAGAGTACATGTTTTGCCAACAATACACCTAAAACATGTACATGTGAAGGGTGTGGCCCGTGAACAAAATCCGGGGACGCGACCCACCTCGCCACAGACGGTCCCGCGCCTCGCCGCTATGACGGGGACACACCCCGCACCGTCCGCCGTGTCCCCGTCTTTGTCCGGAGTGAAAAGTCCAACGCGCTCGTCGGTGACGGCGTCCCCGGATTTCGCCGCGCTCGGCGAACCTCGACAGCGCTTTCGGTGGCACGCATCTCTTTGCGCCTGAAGCTTGGAGAGCAGCTCCTCTGCTGCTCACACGCTCTGCACAGTTGGCACAGCCTACTGTGCGGCTGCCACAGCTGTGACAGCGATGGGCTCGCCCTCACTGGCCCTCAGTCACTTGTGCTGCGGCTTGTGTGAGCGACACTGCTCGACGACTGCCGGCACACTGTGAGACCGTGGGTGTGAGGTTAAACCACGCTACCAGCGCTTGGTCACATCGAGGTCAGATCCTTCTACTCTGTTGATGACAAGACTT